CGGTAGGCTTATTAACTTTTTGCCTTTTTTTCTTCATTTACCTTTTTTTTCCCAACTTAATTTACAGTACACTGGAAAAAACTGAAATCTAGATAAGTCATTTTTTCTTAAAATAAGACGATAAAAGAGTAATTTTACCAAAGGATCAAGACAATTTAGATTTAAAATAAGAAAACACAATTGCATTGTTTTATTTCAAGTGCACATTATCTAATTATCTTATTTTAAGAGTAAAATACTCATTCCATGTCAAACTATCTCATTTACCTGCTCAGGTTAAGGGTAAATACACCTAATTTAAGAATTTTTTCTTGTTTCTAATTAATTTTTCCAGTGTAGGTAATATATCATTCAAGAGCTCATCTAATTGGTCAAATGCAAGAATACGATGTACGGCCATGTAGCAGGATCCTTCCTTTTGTTAGGAGGAAGGCAAGTGATGAGAAACGGTACCTTGCCCTATAAAAGGTTAACTGATAACCAACTTTCATTGCATGAAGACCAATAGACTGAGAAGTTGGAGCCGAGTTCTGATGGTTAAACCTTAAATCAACAGGAGGAGCCGTGGAAAAATAACCCTGTAATAACTGTGTTACACATGTGTGACGTTCCATGGCTGGTCAGGATGACATCATCCTTCCCGTCTTCCTGAAGCAGCACCGGCTTGTATTGGAAACGATCTGATCAGAGGTCAGTTGTCTTCCGGTTAATAATCAGCAAACAAAGGCGAACCGTTTTCTGTCAATCAGTGGATTCTATGGAAGCTGAAGGCTTCATGGAGTCACTGGATTCCCTCTAATTTCATCTCCAACTGTCAGATTTGATTAACCCTCTCTGGATGCTGTGATTAACACGCTTTCTGCATCGCTCTGCAACACAGCAGCACCAACAGAACTTTAACTCAGAATCAGGTTTATTGCCATTGTTAATGAAGGAGTTCACAAACTAGGAATTTTTTATGGTACAAACGTGCAACATGAAACATATAATATGGAATAGGTCAATAAAATTATAAAAATATCTAAAACACTGTGGGTATAAGGCATGCAATAAAATAGACTAATATATACACTTAAGATAAGTGGGTCCAACATGATGACTACTGCAGCTGGAGATCCATCAAACTGGTCTCTAACCAGTCCTCTGGTTCCTGTCTCCTGATATAAATAAAAAAAAATTGATAAAATAAAATCTTAAAACAATGTAACAGAAATAAACCATATTTTTCTTCTTAGTGGTTTTTAAGCAAACAAGCATTGAAAAATCTATTTCCTGAAACTACAGAAGCCTTCCTAGTTTCAGCCTTTCACCACAGGAAGGCATGACCATATATGGAACTTCAAACAAATAGTTCAGGAAATAAAAAGCTTTTCTACCTGGAGACAAAACGGATGGAGTGAGAATGACATTATTTGACCAAATAACTTGTAGGAAGGGAAAAAAGGGAAGCAGAGAGGTTGGAAGAGGCTGCATTTTAACATCCAACAAAAACCGCCTGTTAGAAACAGGGCTGTGAAACCCTAGAATCAAAGCTGATGATGTCACAACACATGAGCAGCAGGTGAGTCAGCAGCCAGACCATCACGTCACCAGTAGCTGTAGGACAGAAGATCTGCTGACTGATCCTGAGTGTTTAGCTGAAACTCATCCTTTACTCTGTGACTGACTGCAGCTGCTGTTTTAATTCTATTCAGTTTATTTCTATAGCGCCAATTCACATCATGTCAACTTAAGGCACTTTCCAGTTCATCAGATCATCCA